GTAGCTCAACCGATGTAATCTTGTGTGAGCGTAACTCAACCAAATCAGCTCGGATCAACCTACTTTAATCATGGAAATGAATGTCTAGAGCAGGAGCATCGTCCACCTACAATATAATGCACAAAAGTTGGGAATGCACAAAAGTGGCTATTAGCTGCCAATGTATGACCTGAAAATGAGGGTTGCGTACCTGTCATGCATGGTCCCTGAAGTCCAAGCTTTTTAACCCAGTTATACAAACACGTCCCTCTGCATCTTTTGCTCTGCCAGGGTCCAGCTACTTCACAATGAACAAAGACCACTTATCATATAGCATCACCCTTACAAACATAAACGTGCCTGTATCTCCAAACTTTACAATGAAACGTGAGGTTTTTATTAGAGCAATGTGCTCGGCTTGGCCAACTGCACCTTGGGTGCCAGTTTCACGATCAAGCTTGCCAATCCCAGATTTCGCAATGTCGCCACCAGCCAAACTGGATCTGGGGGTCGACCTCTTCGACGACGACGACCAAAAAAATATTTTTTGGGCTGTTTGCGACATTGAACGCGATACTTTCACACAAGGTGCTGTTGACCAAGCCGAGCCCATTGCTCTATTAAAAATCTCACGTTTCATTGTAAAGTTTGGAGATACAGGCACGTTTATGTTTTACCTATGCTGTAAGCGTGATGGAATTGCTTTTTCCTAGTGGATGGTGTCGGCTGCATTAACGGAAAGATGAAGAGCTGAGTGAAACGGCAAGTGGTGGTTACACAGACACGTCCTTGACAGGTTGCTACACAAATGGATGATGATGATGATTGCCTTTTGTGAAGGTACGTAAGTAAACAGCATCCAATAATGAAGGTATATCGAAGTAAATGGTTTATATGCGTACGTATATACCAGGGATGGATGCCTATGCGGTATCATCTCTGTTGGGTTGAGCTGCATAAAATCGGCCATTGAGTTGTGCAATGTCGCACCGACCAAAGTGACGCTGCCGCCTGCTGGCCTCAGTAAAACCATGTATACCTTGATAATGATGGCTAAGCTCAATTGGAAACTCGATCAGTGGTTATCTTTATTCATCTGAATGTATAGGATAGTGTTGGGGTACATACATAGTGGCAGTGGCAAGTGTTGCAGGCGGGGTGGCGTTGAGTGCACGAATTGAGAACAACGAAAGGGAAGACAAAGAACCCCTTCTTCTCCTCTCCCGTTTCAGAAAGCATGGTAAGCCTGTTTCCATTTACAAAATACAGATCATTAACTGCTGTCATTGTTGCCTTCATTGCAAAGCGTCAATTGGGTGAAAAGGTTGTCAATGGCGACACTTTCCATGGCAACAAGTGTACGCGCGGGATCCATCAATGACTCAAGCACCCATTGCAATACAACGTGTACGTTCAATTGCTGCATTACTTTATTATTCAGGATGGTCTTGCGATACTAACGTTCATATATAGCTTGCTGTTCTCTCGTTTATACAAGGTACAAGACGCCCTTCGTGTGTATTCTTTCCATGGTTGTCGTCAAGGAGATGTCCATACTACACCTATACTTTGGGTATGTTGATATGAAGAGTGAATGCTGTCCTTGTTATCGTATCTTACGTTGCATTGTATATATAGCTTGAGTACGTTGGATGGTATTTGCAGCAGCAACAAGACCAAGAGCATCACTTCCAATACACGTCTGTTGCGGCGGATCATATCATCTTTGGTTGCAGCAAGTTTTATTCGGTCGTCAGCTAGAGCAATTTATTTGATGGAGGATGCAAGCTTCATGTCTTTTTATACGGGTGGACGTGTCATCAACAACCAGTGACGTACATAGTTTTGGTGCCATCAAGCTTTATCCGATCATCTCGTGATTCTTGATATCAAGCAACAACCGATTCCTTTGATGGACATCCTGAAATGAGCGTCTCTTATCGGTAGTTCATGGCAACAATAAGCAGCAGATTTTTTATCCTTTGTTGTCAGCAAGCTTTATTCAATCATCTTCGCCGGTGTATGAATAGGCAACATCACCTAGGCCCGTCAGCTTTAATCCTGGTATGTATATGCGACCCCATCGATTTATCAGCTCACGTATCAATTTATCAATCCATCATCCCCAACTGACAGAAATACCCACGCCCACAATGCACAATAAAGGATGTTGTCGCCGCCCATCATACTCCCACACGTCTCTTTTCTCTGTCATACTTCTTTGGTTGCTTACAAGTCAAATGCGAAGGTTTGTGTGTATCATTGTGTTCAACCTGTGAATAAGCGCTGATCTTTGTGGTCTTTCGTAGTGTTTCGTTTTTGTCGCGGTCGTCATTATGTTATTGGATCCTTATAAAAAGGTAAATCCTGATCATGTCGCTTGATGAGTCACTACTAATACACGCTACCTTATTACTTCCGATATAGCTATCTCTTCGTGAAGCATCTACAAAAGTTGGTTTCGGTGCCTTGGTCCACGTCGAGTGCTGGAATTGACATGGTGCAAATAGCAAAGTGCAAAAATTCAGGCTATACATACATGTTGGCAGGAGCCCTATTGTACATCTTCCTAGCGGCAAGAAGTATCAGATCGACGATTCCAACACACATATCATCAACGTTCTAAGTAATATTGATCGGACGTCCAAGGAGATGTTATCGAAAGTTGACGACATGCAGAATAAGCTCCTTGAATTTTCTGAAAAGTTAAACGCGAACCAGAAAGACAGCGTAAGTGGCCGTGGGCTACTGGATAAACAACATAACAAGAACATCCGAGTCAATGCATACGGACTACTCCAGCATCTACGATTGTCCTTCCCTGACAACCAAGACAACCACGACATGCATGTGTTGACGATGGAGTGGAGTGGTAAGTAGCAGCTGTGGTATTATCATATGCTCTGGTTTAACAATTATTTATAGGATCCGAGGGGAAGCTTCTATCAGTATCGAAACCGGCACGGCATTTCGTTATGGGTGAACGCGGTGGCATGTACCTACCGCCATCGTTGCATGATTATCAAGATTTCAAGATTTTCAAAAAGCCCTTGAGCGTCTTTTTTATTGGAAGGTAAGTTGAATGGTGCAGATCATGTGTATATTGTATTCAAACATGCTGTAATAATAGGACCAGCATATGGATCTACAAAGAAGAATCAAAGCAGCTCTTATGAAGAAACGCCGTTTGGATAGGGTGAAGACGCCCATTACCAGACCAGCAAGCCCAGACGTATACTTGACGCCATCACGTCATAGAAAGTGAAAGCCTCTTCCTGCTCCTTGTCAGCCCATATCCAAGGAATGTACCCATCTCCCACTTCTTTTCATAAGCCTTCTATCTCACATTTACAAACTCTCATACATATGACTCATTGTAATTCATCTCAATTGCTTTATTTTCACGAAATCATGACTTTTACAATCACCTTATCTTCAATTCTATTGCTTGTTGTGTTAATAAATGTGTATGCCCATTACAAGAGATTTGCTACTACCAAATTACTAGTGTGATTTCCATAGCCATATGTATGCAGGTATGATGTTGTTCGAGTACTGTGAGCAGCAATGTCCCGATTACATTATGATATCAGTGATCAAGGACCATTTGACATTATTGGCGTATGTATGTTTGAATGGTGTTTGGGTGGTGGAAATAGCAAAGCTCCTGCTTTCATGCGGATTAAATCGCTTTGACATGTTCTGGTAAAGCATGTGATGATGGAATACTATGCTAAAAGCTGTGTGTTCAGGATGCTTGTATCAACACGATTTATCACTCCACCTGACTGGATGACGGCATGATGAAATATGGCTTCCAAGACTACATTGTGTACTAGATACAACATTCAAACATGATCATTGATGGGTGATCTCCTCTTCATATTATCGGTGATAACGGCTAAATAGCAATGATGGTGTGCCCTCTTTGGGCCATTCAGACTACTGAGCATTCATCGCTCTACGAATTACCAGCTTACTAGAACCACGCCTACAGTATTTGACTACTGGAAATCACATGAATCCCAATGTTTGTTTGCTGGTGGTGGAATCAAGTGGGTCCATATTCAGGAAAATGGTTGTCCAGTGATAGGATAGTACACATGTCGCACAAATTTGCAGATGCATTGATGACTGAGATCCGAATGCACAAATAAGGGTGATGAAGTTGCTACGAAAGAGTATTTGGATGCATCAAAGTTGGCATAGCAACTATCTTTATTGTTATTCAAATACACATAAAAGAAGTCATATTGAAGAAGAATAAAAGTGTAGATGATTGGTGCAACAAAAAGGCTTTAGATTGTGATACGGCGCGCTCTAGGAGGATATGCAACGAATGCGGGAGGTCAATCTCGATTACTACGATACCTTGGTAACGCCCAATTTTCGCTTTTGCTCTTCCTTCCACAACTCCCGCAATGAAAGAAACATACAATCTCAAGAATCCTGGTAATTCCCACCTGCATTCTCTATGCCACTGTTGTCCTGCAGCATCCCATGAGGCAAAGTGAATGGGGCATGGCCTTTTATTGTAAACTCAACACTCAATGACTAACTATTGTCTCACCATTTAGCTGTGAAGCGTATTATGCAAGAAGCCAGAGAGTTGGCGACCGAGTCGTGTTATGAATATGAAGCCCATCCGTTGGAGGTATCGTTTTCTTCTTTATATCATTATCCACCTATTGCATCGTATCAACCATGTATCTACACACACCAGGACAATATCTTTGAATGGCACTTTACCGTACGTGGACCAGGTGGTACTGAATTTGAAGATGGCAGGTAGGATGACCCTATAATACTGATGGGCATGGGCGATGGTATTGATACACAATGGTAGATATCATGGACGAATCTTGCTTCCTGCTGAATATCCCTTCAAGCCGCCAGAGTTGATCTTTTTGACAGTAAGTTTGGATACTGGATCACAGCATTGTTGGCTTATGTCTAACCAACAACATCACAGCCAAATGGACGATTCGAACTTAATACAAAGGTGTGCCTAAGCGTAACAGGCTATCATCCAGAGTTCTGGCAACCAGCTTGGGGTAGTAAGTATGAAGCTACATATACCTCTTGGTGGATACTCAAAGTTTCATCTATGTAGTCCGTACTGTCATCTTGGCTGTGATGGGATTTTTCCCTACCGAGGCTCGTGGTGCTATTGGTGGATTAGATTATACAAAGGAGGAACGTCGTGTCTTTGCTAAAAAGTAAGCGGGAGAGTGGATCGTGGTATTGTTGAAAGGTGACTTATATGATGTCATTTCAAAGATCGAAAACGTGGACTTGCTCTGTGTGCAACATATCCAACAATGAATTATTACAAGATACAGCTCCTCATCATCAGAAAAACAACCAAGAAGACAACGTCCCTGATTTTTCTTTATCGTACAAGCCAAACAACTCCACCACCACCACCACCACCACCACCGCTTCTACGAGTAGTAATGGACAACGCGATGAATTGGATCAACAAAATCAAAGTCAAGATGCATCACCATCCTCAGTTGGAAATTCGCCAGATATACCAAGTCAATCGAAGGACAATCCTGCCACAGCATCATCTTCATCATCGTCATCATCGTCATCTCAATTCACAAGATCTATACCCACACAGCCGCCGGCATCATCTAGAACATCTATAGATACATCGACTACTAGACGACCTCCATTATGGCTTGATGGCTTGATTGGTGTATTGTTAGCATTGTTAGTTACATTGATTGTTCGCCGCTTTTTGTAACAATGAGAACTAAACGTTTATTAAAAACAAAGAACAACAAAATGCAAAGGGAGATGAATGAGTTACAAGGACAAAAAGAGTTGTACAAGGATGAGGTTCATATGCACACAAGATGAGGATGAGAGGTGGTGGTGGTGGTGGGGTGGAATGATGAAGAAAGATTTAAGAAGTGATGTGTTTTAGATAACCAGCATTGATGAGAGCTTCCACATCCGATCGACGAACGAATTCTTGGTTTCCTTTGACGAGGTTGAGTTCACCGAATTCAGTGTTGATACGTCCAGCATCTCGTAAAACACGCACTTCGATGTATAAATCCAAAGGCGGATCAAGACCCACGCCACCGTTACCGCCTAAATCCACATCCAGGAAGCTTTGCTTGTATGTGTTGACCATTTCACCATATTCTTGAAGGAATCTTTGCTCCGAGCTGCTGAGGGATGCTTTGATTTCACGTTGGCTGGTGGGCCGTCGGTCTCCCACATCCCATGAAAGTTCCTTTAGTTTTTCCACTCGTTGTCGATGATATGCAAACAGGACACGCTTGTTCCTCTTGACCGTCAAGTGATGTAACATGATTTGCGTCAATTGACTCGGTTTGTTCGGTGGAGGTGCATCTGGATTGCTGGCATTGGCGCGCATCGCATGAAGAATCGATTCGGCTCGTGAGTGCAGCTGGCGCGTCTCTCGGCAAATGGTCTGTACTAGATCGTCATTGTACGGTGATACCAACAAGTCGGCTGTGCGTTTGGCTTCTCGTGCTAGTTTGTCACCGGATTCACCAAAGGACGCTGCCATAGCAAAGGATATAGAATAGAAATGCGTGTGTATGTGTAGGTAGAATAATAAAAAAAGAGAGAGAGGAGTTGAGGAACGGCGAACGAGACTACTTTTTCGGTATATAACCCAACCCCTTCTTTCACCACACTATCCAGGCACATGATCTTGCTTGCTCATACCTTCCTCCTTCCTTAATCCATGACCTATTGTGATCAATGTGTCCATTGTTGTATAGGTTGGCTTTGTGGACATCCTCATCATCATCAATAAACAATCAGGCAGTGTTGCTGTGATAAGTATCTTAGAACAGGGTGTCCATAATCTGAAGATTGGCCATTTTCATGCCAACCGAATCTGTTAGCTGCATTCGCAATCATTGACAGCTGGTATAGCCATCCTAAAAGGTGCTGGTGGGTGCTTGCACGTTGACCATTTAATGACATACAAGCCGGTACAAGCTGATGATTCATGATGATATGGGTGATCAATGGATTCTTTGTGTGGGTCGGGTGATGGTGATGGAGTACGTAGGAGGGACCATTGTCCATGATCCCTTGTTTTAGATTACATCACCACCTGCTGATGATGAGGCACTTAAATACAGCCGATCGTGAGGAAAGGATAATTTTCTTCTGTATTCATGCACATTCCAATGATCCCGGACAATATAAAAAGAGCCATGCACTTTTGTAAACAATCTTATATCACTCTCAGCTCCCAAAAAGCCAATCCACCACTTGTTTTCAATCAATACAACAAATGATGAAGTCTGCAACAACACGTTTACTGCTATGGTCCTATTTTCTCGGAGCAGTCTCATTGACGAACACTATCCACGCCGTACCCGTGATACTTTTTGATGTCGATCTCGCAGCAAGTCCAATTCTTCACTATGATCACCCACGTCCCATTGTATGGCAAAACGAATGATAAAGACACAACATAGCCATGCATCCACAATACTGTACTTTATATAATCCACGCATTCCTCCCTGTACTATAATAAATAAAGCTGGCCTAGCTCAACTCGAAACCGGTATTGGCATTGATTGCTGGAAAATACTACAATCAGTATCCAATATCCTCTTTACATTCAAATCCCTCCGGCTTACCGTAACGCAGCTTCTCTCGCAAAAGGGATTTCTTGGTATAAGCTATTCAATAACAAGAGGATGAGGATCTTTCATTGGACAACAAATCATGAAAATGAGCTTACCGGGAAGTTTCAAGAGATTAAAGCTAAAACAAGTAATTGGAAAGCATAAGCTCATTGTACTCTTTGCAGCAAGGAATGTTATGTCTTACCATGTAGAGGCTGTTGGTAAACGGCCGCCTTTGTTGGTTGATCCATTTCCAATCTTGAAAAGAGTCTTGACCATGCCCAGCCCGTCAACGGTGCCTTGTCGAGCATCAGGATCCACAGTGACCATACGGATAGTGAAGGGTGGGTACAAGTAGCTAAATCCTCCCAATGGGGGCTATGTAGTATTGAAACGTAAATACCTGATGACTCGTAAATTAAACTATCCTTTTACCTTTGAACAACTCGTAACAAATTTGAGGAATGCACGTTTTTCTTCAGAATTGAATTCTTGAATGATTTGCCATAGAGACCGAATGATGGGATGTTGATCAAAGTACCCATTGTGATATTCAGTATGTTGTCGTAAGTCAGCAACGTCTACATTAATGTTGAAAATACATCAATGTCAATCCCAATCTTCCTTAATGTCCACTTACCAAAGTCCGTATCCTCGCCAGAAATGACCCTGTAATGACAACAATGAGCATCCATCATAACGAATTTGTTCTACTACCATGCCATACCTTTGGAGCTCTGGTGGAGAAAATACTTTGATCCACCCCTCAGTAATGATAGACCGAAAGCCATCCACAAATGCACGGGTTTGTTCACGCGTTTGCTGGTTCAATTTGTAGTCAGCCATTCTGTACACGTATTCAATTTTGTTCTCGTTGGTGACAGGTGTGTTCTTTCCCCGCTATAATAATGAACGTTAGTTGGTAACATGGATACAAAAGCGAGCATGGTTGATTCTTACATATTTAAGTTCATGCGTAGTAACATGACCAAACGCTTCTTCGTCAGTCGCAAAGTATAGGCCGAGGTCCTCAACACACCCTATCAGCAAATTAGTATCCCAATCATCCTAATGACAAGATGCCAACATACATACCATCATAACGCTTGAGAAAGATCAAGTTCCTCCACACATCCTCGTCCAATTCTCGAAGCTCTTGCAAAAATACATTGCGTCCCAGCAGTTTGGCGAGCAAAAAGCTTGCAAATTGGATGTCTGACAGGATACCTTCATAGATAGCTTTGCCAATAACCTGAATAAATAGAGATGTTTGAGCGATTGCTGGTGAAAAATCTATTACAGGGTTTACCTTGCCAATGAATTCAAATAGCCTGATATGACTTTTCCCATGAATGGAAGATGCTGGAGATGGATAAACAAGGTTGGTGGATGCTGTGGTGGCAAAAAGACCAAAGGAGGGTTCAGACACTTGATTGACCAGCAACGAAACAAAGTCTATGGACACAAAAGAATGAGTTGCAAGTATAAGGTGATGGATAGCTGCTGCTACATGCCTTTGAATGGACCACCGTGATCAATACCAGCTTCTTCGACACCTGTGAATTGGGCATTTAGTATCCTTGTTGATATAAGAAACTATTCTTCTTACCAAGTTCATTGACAAAAGTTACACGAATCACGCCTTTCCAAGCTGCTGGTGGAATGCCACCCAATCCTCGTATTCCATCTTCAAGAATATGATTGCGTCGTACGCGAATGGAACAGTGACCTGTACGCATCGTGTTGGCTCTATCGTGGGCGATCCAATCTCGAAAGATAGTCAAGCGAGTCTCAAAAGGAATGGTGTGTGGCATCAGTTGGAGGATACGGAGTGGAACGGGATCACCTTGTCGAAAGCGGTCAAGGAAAGAAGCAGCTGCTGGTGGTTTGGAAGTATTGAACAAGGACAAGATGGATTGCTTGATGGTGGGATCCGAGACCAATAACCAATGACCCTCTGGGCAAAATGGATGTCGCATGTCCAAGTCATAGATTTGTAATAACAGGCGATGAGCTGCACGAAAAGCACGTATTGAAGCTGCTGCCACAGCGGCGTCATTTTGTTGATCACTCTTGGCATGTTGTAGCAATGCAAAATAAAATGTGTTGAGAAAGGTGCTCATATCAATCAAGTCTTGAGTCGAGAAAGGCGTCTCATGTTCGAAAATATCAGTGTCATCCAAGGTCCTACGTACAAACAAAATTCATGCAAAACATGGGATGATCAGCCAATGAAATGATACACAAGGGAGGGGGGGGATCCACTTACAGGAACACCAAGGATGCTGCTTCGCAAAACATTTGGAGAACTTTGATGAGCGGCTCCTTTTCCACATTGCCATCTTCACGCCTTGCTGCATCAAGGTATATCGACATGCGACCTCTAGGTCCAAACGTGTTCATAGCACGCCAAAGCTGGGGTATCAATCGTGTGGTGAATGCTATTTTGTTGATGATCTCCATTCGTTGGGTGGGAAACAGGCTTATCAACAACATATACATAGCGAAAATCGACTCCACATTCATTGACAGCTCCACCACGTGTGCATAATCCTTGCTATCCAATAATGTCGCCTGATTCTTTTTCTTGAAAAGTCTCGTTTTTAATCCATCTTTGGCTCCTGCCGCTGCTCCTGCTGCTGCTGCTCCACCACCAAAAAGCTTTGTGCTGTCAAAATTCAAAACATCGACAAAAACCCGATCCATGAATGAGCGCGACCAGAGATATTCGAGTTGTGCCTGAACACGTTCGTATACCACGACATCAATCGAGTTGCCCCAACTGGAACAAGACCACTTGAACAAAGGATGATAATGCTTATACTTCGATATCTGTCGATCCGAAATGTGTAGTCTGCATCGGTTGCCTAGGCAATTCGTCAATTGCACCACCTTATCCACAGCAGCTGGAGAATCGTCCGCCTCTCGTATAAACTCCAAAAGATTCGCTAGCACAAACAGGTGACCATTGCCTTGTAATGCATCCAATAAAATCTCATCGCCATGGTTCTTTGTCTTGAACAAAGAAATGACAACATCCACATCTGCTAATTTCTGTAGGTGTTGCACAATCATCTTGTTGACCATGGTTGTAATCAAGGGCACTGAAAGAACAGAGGTGATGGTGTAAACAAGACGTGATTGTCGTTGACTTTCAGTGATGGATGATTCGAGAGGGAATAAGCAGATGCGAGTCATTGTTGTGAGCCAAAGTTGTAAGGAGCGTAGCTCTTTGGTATCATCGGCGGATGAGAGTGATCCTCCTTTCCTCGCCTTTCTTTGTTCGAGCTTGGCAGCACGTTCAACACGACGTATCATGGCATCTCGTGGGTTGAATGATAATAAGCAATCATCAAGAATACTTTGTGCTGAAAGTAAAAGTGATTCAGCTGGATGCGGTGTGGTATGATGCATGTCGAAGGGTTGCTTAACAACAAATGTCTTTGGATTCAGGTAGTGCAATAGCAAATTCAACTCAGGTCCTGCAAGATACATGTCGGTCATTGTGGTCCCTGCACATACTCGTTCGAGGCATTGCTGCAACACATACTTCAAGTAGCCAAGTGCACGTTCTTTATATCGGTTGTCAAGGAGAAGCGAATGATACATGTACTGTTGTCCACTCTCATCGTTGGTGGAGGTGGAGGTGGAGGTGGTGGTGGTAGTGGTGGTAGGTGCTCGGTGCTTTGCTGCAAGACATTTACATACTGCTACAAGTCGCTTGTTGTTGTTGGATTGTCGTGGCTCATGTCGACACAAGAAGCAATAAATGCCAACCAGTCGAAAGCATTCAACAATGGTGAGAAAATGGTGATCCAGTTGCTTATCCCATAAGGCCCAACATTCGCTCAATGCTCTTCGTTGTCGACAATGTCGCTGCCACCATTGTTGTAAAATGTGTGCTGCTTTCTCTTGTTTGGTGTGCGTTTCCTTTTCCAAACGTTCTTTTTCTCGACGTTGTCTCTCGACTCGTGTGCGTTCAACAAAGGCCTTTTTGTCTTGGTTGGTAGGAGTGAACATGAGAAAGATTCGGCCCTCCCCACACCCCCTCCTCTCGTTGCTTGCAGGCACAAATCCCGCCTTCACAACCACCATCATCTTTTACACCCACTTGCTCACTATGATTGTTCATTCATCCCCAATTAAGTCAAATAAAGTTCCATTGAGTGTACAATAGCCTATCACGATTGACCACTGCTGGTCTTTTTCATTTCTTTTTCTCAACACAACCACGCCCATCCGGTTAATCCACTTGTTTATGGTCTGAAAGGTACATCAACACTGTTGGCTCATAGAAGAAAGCTAGTTGTTTACTTTTACCCTTTGAACATAGAGATGGTGAATTCAATGCCTAACGACACACATCATCTTCAAACCAAACGAAGCACAGCCGGACATAATATCTATGTATGTCACCTACAAAAATCACCTTTCAAGTGGCAGCTGGATTTGTGCATCAGCTGTTGCTTTTCCATCGCTTCGACCCAGCACTCCAAGATGCTCGACCACTTTATCAGTTTGATCCATCGTGGCAGCAATTCTCACGCCCGACCGCATATAAACAAGGCTGTTGTCGCCAACACTATCATACACCCTTTCTTCCTATGTACTTGTATTCATACCATCATCAATGGCCTTTGGTAAGTCTCAAGGATGGTCTTAATGCGATCCCCAAAATGAGGTTGTACTCATACATTCATCTATGGTTGACATAGCTGCTTTACTATTTGAAGTGCTCATTATTGATGCCGAATGACATTCGGCTGTGTTCCTTGATGAACCCTTGGGGTAGGTATAACCATCACTTATACATTAAAAGGATGCCTAGTCTGATAGGAAAGTTGAGACTCCTTTGTAGGTGGTATATGCACATGGAGATACTGCCGGCTTCCGCTCCCTCCTACAGCCAATGGAGAACATCTTATCTGGGCTTGAGAAATGTGTGCTGTGTAAAGTGCCGGCCCTTATTGAAGAGATGTCTCGATCAAGACTTGCAACACCAGAGTTCAGACAAATACTAAGAAGCCCAAAAGACGCCGCATCACATTCAACAACTATGATGTTTGTGGCATGGTATATCTGTATGAGTGGTTTACAGCTGTGGGTTGTCAAATGCCGCTTCTTCAATCTACTCGCAATACCTATGTATGTCACCTACAACAAATCACCTTTCAAGTGGCAGGTGGATTTGTGCATCAGCTGTTGCTTTTCCATCGCTTCGACTCGATACTTCAAGATGCTCGACCACTTTATCAGTTTGATCCATCATGACAACAACTCTCACGCCCACTCACATATAAACAAGACACTTTGCACCAACACTATCATACACCCTTTCTTCCTACTTGTATTCATACCATCACCAATGGTCTTTATTATTATGTGATCCCGAAAATGAGGGTCCTCATGCTTTCATCTACAGCTCACATACATCACTTTACCACTTGAAGCGATCAGTATTGGTGCCTAATGACATTTGGCTATGATCCTTGATGAACCCTTTGGGGTAGGTAGCACTTGTATACTAAAAGGATGTCTAGACTAATGGAAAAATTAAGACACCTTGGTTGGTGACATGAGTACATGTTACCTTTAGCCTTGGTGTTCAGCCGCGATCCAACAAATTAGCAGAAGAAATGATACCAGAGCTGGATCTATGTACCCATTGCTCTAGCCCTATCCTGATGCCCTTGTTCAATTCGCATCAACAACGCTTAAGATGGTAAGAGGAATATGGTTTGAACGTTTGCAGAGAAACTTGTGATTGATATTGGGATACGTCAAAGGTCAAACACCAAGCTCAACGGATCCAGCGCTGATAACACAATCTAATCCATCACATCACACAACGTCTTGCCGCCCCGATACTATTGTATCAACCGTGAAAGAGATACAGTATTTTAGATACTAAACTACTAGGGGGATGTCGCACCTCCGATGTCGAAGAATGTCGCGCACCTAGTGATTCCCTTTATCAATTATACGTAGCAGCATTCATGTATATGTCATTATTGCAATTAATACAAGATGCTCCCCCTAACCCAAATGATAATACTGGCTATTGCTGAATGAAACAATCATTGATGTATTATGGTGTTTGTGGCATGGTATATCTGTATGAGTGGTCTACTGCTATGGGTTGTCAAATGCCGCTTCTTCAATCTGCTGGCAATTTTTGGCGGCTTGGTTGGTCTTCTTTCTGCTCTATTACTATCATGTTTCTCGTCGCCGAGCTCGAAGACACGGTCAAGATTGAACCCAAACACTTTGACAAATCCGACAATGAGGCCATTACTGCTGTTCTAAACCAAAAGTTTGCAAACAAGGTGTGTGTGTGGAGGAGTCATAGAAACACGCGACCGAGGAAGAGAAAAAGACTCTGATCGACTATATAAAAGGTCATTCCCGATGTAGGTCTCTGCGTTTGTGTACACGACATTCTCGAAGCTAGTCCGGGAGCGATTCTCCATGGCGACGGTTGCAGCTATATAAAAAGTAAGATAACGCGGCGATGAGTGCGATCGCACGACAACCTTGTTGACGTTTGGCTATCTCTTTTTGATTCAGCTACATTTCGTCTCGTGATATTCCGTCCTTTTGTTGGTGAGGTGATCACAGGTCGTGTAAAGAGTTGTTCTTCTTCTGGTGTTAGAGGTATGTTGAATATGGATGGTAGGAATGAAAGAGTTACTGATTGTGATGGTGCATGTATATAGTGACATTGGGCTTTTTCGATGATATCCATATCCCTGCACCAGCATTGCAACCTGGATCTGAATTGTAAGTGAATGGATGATGAGGAGTAATATACAAGAGGGTATTGACATATACACCTTGATAGTGACCCTGCTGAACAACTTTGGGTATGGAACTACGAAGGCGAAAAGCTATACATGGATTTGGATGAACCAATTCGCATTCGCGTATTACGTGAAGTATTCACCGACAAGACTCCAACACCTGCTACAGCTGCATCCACAGGTCGTCGTCAATCAGCAGCAGACGCATCGGCCACTGCTGATCTTCAAGCCAACTCAGCAAAGATACCACCCTATGCATTGACTGTAAGTTGAAATGTAAAGTGGAAAGGAGGAGATTATTGGGACTCATTCGTTTTGCTAGTGCACGATACAAGAAGACGGTCTTGGCTTGCTGTCGTGGTGGGGTGCATAATCCATTATTCCATCTTACTACCTTGTATTTCTGTAAATATATATACACGCACGCACACACATGTCATTCATCCACAACAGACATCTCTCCCCATATGTTGTAATCTCTCCTGTTCCATCACCATCTTTTGATTAAACAAAACGCATCTCTATTCTCATTAACATCCCTTTGTATACAAGGAAAACGTACATCTAATTAATTAGGACATGGAATAAGAAATAGTATAGAACTTTATGCCTATATGCAATTCACGTGGTGAGACTCGTGCTGTGGATGATGATTAAGATGATGAGAAATTACTTACAGGAACCGTTACGTATTCACGCCTTGCCAGCAGCTCCTTGATAAAACTCTTTCGTGATCTAGCCTTACGAGCACGCCATGACCGAGCACATTTGACCCAAGTAAAGATGCCCACTAGGATTAGGATAATCACACCTGCGACCGCCGATGTTCGAATAAGATTGGCAAACGCAGCACCTTCCTATAGTAGAAATCATTCAATCACCCCATCCAAACAGCTCAAATGCCATCTTTCTTTCCTACCTCGCGTAACCACCAGCATGTCGAATATAAGCCCACGACCCAGCATGCGCCATTGCTTCCCGTATTGAGATTGATCCAAAATAAATGATGCAGTGGATTGTTGATGCCTTCATCATGTGGACCATTTTCTAATAGATCGGCTTGTAATACTTGGAAAAGCTGCTTGTTTTGAACGGCCACACGAGGAACATCAAAGACATAATTGTCAGGACACGCAGAAAAAGCTCGATCATAGGATACATAAGTTGCCGTCAACACCCACTAATCATTATCACGTGAATAATCCAAACACAACACAAAGTTAAATGAAATGATCATCATGCTTACCTTGTTTGGATCATCTTTATGCCGACATGCTACACGTAATAATTCAGTGCACAAGCCCGATCGCCATCGTCCATTCCAACGCTGTATCATTGTACAATGCGGGTTGCTGCTTGCCATAGGTTGACCCACATCCCATGACCAAATCGTGCCAAGGACGTTGTCTTGAAGATGAGTGATGGAGTGATTATCATTCTTGCTGATGTCCGATGTATAGTTGCTTGTCGTGAAATAAGGAGAATATCCACAATAGGTCTATCCCAAATATGAGTGATCTTATTTTTTTCTTCCTTGCTTGCTACTTACCGCTTTAAGTGTTGTATTATATACAAAGGGATCGCTCGGCCGATCGATCAACGTGGCCCATGATCCATTGTTGGTTGTGCAATGAGAAAGACTTTGCGATAGATTACTTGATGCTGCCACTGCAGTGACCTCCAATAGCTGATTTTCGCCAAATATCATATCAAGATCGACACCTGTGTTATAGCCGCTTGAATTGCCCAATTCATTTGATCCCAAGCCTACCAGCAATTGGACCCGATCGCTGATCAAATTGAGCCATGTTGGCCAACTATCGTGACCAACGGTGCCATTGCGACGATCCTGCTCGAGTTTGGAAGGTGTATAGAGTCGTTCGGTGCCAATGATATCGATGATGGTATCACTCAAACTATCGCCTTGCTGCTGCTGTCGTGATGTTACGGCATTATTGTTATTACTGGATGATGATTGTAATGGATGTAAATTGAACACCAAGAACAAAAGATCGGTATCAGAAGGAGCAGCCGAGACGTTGGTGGAGACCATGTAATCATCGACTTGTTGCATAAATTGGCGAAAACTGTTCTCGGATGTGGCACAAGTGTAGTAGTTGTTATCATTCATGGTGGCTGCAGGACATAGCTGCCATTGATGTCGTCCTGCATCCCAATACAAATCAAGCACAAGGCGTCGATAGCCCATAGCCATCACTTGCTGCACGTTGGTCAATTTCTGAGTCGAGTAGTCGTTGCCAAAATATGCGGTATTCATATTCAACGTCGGCCATAGCCAGTGATCGATCGTGACATTGAGAGCAAGATCACGCTGCGTACGTAGTGGAACAGTGACATTGTTCGATCCAAATGCGAGTCCTTGGTATGGGCTGGGGTCAGCATAGGTGGTCGGTAACGAATACGAGAAAGAACGACGATGACTATAAAAGGAGGAAGTGTCGGCCAATGAGGACCCGCTAAGTAACCCCAATAATATAAAGAGCCACAGCAATGGGATGGCCATTACCACCTCAAAGAAGTACAGGTTGTTGTTGAGGAAAAAGAAGATTGTTGTATATGGTACAAAAGTGCGGAAAGAAGGAGGGGCGGGTTTCTCTTCTGAAACTACCCGGTCATCGGTACAACCTTCTACGCCATAACAACCACTTTAAGCTTGTCGGCATCTATCCCCGTCTTTCCCTTGGATACCGTCGTCATGGATACTTACAAAAATAAAGATGCTGAGATTGAGTAGAAAAAGTATATGCTTGAGGCCCGGTAGTAAGGCAATGGTTATTGTTGTTGTTGTTAGATCATATCATGCATAACAATAGGCGTCTTTGCTATAGGTGACAATGACTTGATTTATTTACATGATACCTATTACCTATCATGATGTTCTTGTTGTTGTTGTGGAGTGGGTGAATGGATTCAGTGTAATCCCAATGGAGGATTTAACTTAGCGCCCAGTATAGGCATCTTACTGGAGAAAGTAAATTTGGGGACCAGCAGCTCCACGACTGCACACAAGGTTTTTCTTCTCTACTTTATCCCCATTCACGACATCCCCATCAACATAATGCTCTTGTTGGTTGCATGGTAGCAATATACTGCTGATATCCATTGGAAGAGAGTGCTCAAGTGCTGTATCCAAGGTGATATTGTCGCTCTTCTTGTTCGTTTTTATGCCGCTCCACGCTTGGTAACCAGGTACATTCAAAGCCCAATGTAGCAGAAGAGCTTGTTCCATTGACATGCTTCATATATAGAGGGCAAGTTTGGTTTCAAGGCGTTGGCTAGTTTGGCGTTTTGTTTCGGCTCAACTATACTACACCATGGTTTTCGGTTTCCAGTAACCAGCAACAACGTGTTTTTATGAATATGGAAAAGGCAAGTTCATTGAAACAAACAATGAAAAGGGGCGTTTATTGTAAATGTGCGTGTGCTAATAATGAATTGATTAGGTTTCTTCGGTCAGGCAATGCAACTTGGGGCATCATCATCATCTCTTTGGTTCAAGTCCCAGCCTGTATCAAATGGTCGATGACGATGGGGTTTTTGGAAGAGCATGGTCACCGTGTTGAGGTAAAAGGGGATTTGCAACAGCTTGTGAATGTGTTGAACCAACACGCTCTTCTCGTGATAGGCTCGTTCTTTCCCTTGAGGATTTCTTTTCATGAGGTGTGGAGTGATTGGAAGGATTGGATTGGGGATCATTCTTTCTTTGGAGAGGATGAATGAGGACAACTATGAGCCTGGACTCTACGTGTGATGTCCTTCCTTGCCATGGATCGAAGTGGCCTTGCGTGATTCGTGCAGTGCTTTCTCAAGAACAAGGGATGGTCCAACGTTGCTCGTATGGTGGTGATTTGGTTTGTGAATTCCTTCTGATTTGCTTTCTTCCTTGGAGAGGATCGCCTAACGGTATACCAAATCGTCATCATTCCCGGCATCATATAGTCTAATTTGCTTGCTTTCTTATTTATAGAGACGACGATTACGATGATTACCACATCCACAACAATGGCAATGATGACGACAACGAGATTCAAAAGGAAGCCTGCAAGACCGATCCATTCTTTTCAACTTGTGTATTTTTGGATGTTGGTGTGACGGATGAGATTGACGACTGGTGACGAGTACGAGTACAAATGATGACGGAGGACGACTACGACGGTGGTGGTGGCAATGTACAGTAGCAAGATAGGTAGATGAAATAAAGCATTGTTTATTTATTACACGCTTGTTGGAGGTTACTAGCTTGTGGATTACATACTATTGCTTCGAAGATGGAATAATAAAGGCAGTCCGGTTATCGGTCATGCAACATGTACATGGCTTTTGTAATACAATAAGGAGAAGTGGGAAGTGAGATGGGCTTGAGAAGAGAAAAAGTGAAGAGATCCCTCCATTGAGTTTCAGGATGAGTGACCCATTCAATATGTATACATATGTATCTTTTTACATATACAAATTGGTTTATGCAGCTCGACTTTCTTCTACATGCAAATGTGATGCATACCTCGACACAACTTCATTATTGGATGTTGCTTCACTTACGTACCTTCACCAAAGGCGATCATCATCATCATCCATTAGCGTAGCAACCTGTCAAGGACGTGTCTGTGTAACCACCACGTGCCGTTTCACTCAGCTCTTCATCTTTCCGTTAATGCAGCCGACACCATCTACTAGGAAAAAGCAACTCCATCGCGCTTACAGCATAGTGAAAACATAAAAACAGCCATATCTCAAGATTTCACAATGAAACGTGGGGTTTTGAATAGAGCAATGGACTCGGCTTGGCCAACAGCACCTTGTGTGAAAGTTTCGCGTTCAATGTCGTAAACAGCCCAAAAAATATTTTTTGGTCGTCGTCGTCGAAGAGGTCGACCCCTGGATCCAGTTTGGCTGGTGGCGACAATGCGAAATCTGGGATTGGCAAGCTTGATCATGAAACTTGCACCCAAGGTGCAGTTGACCAAGCCGAGCACATTGCTCTAATAAAAACCCCACGTTTCATTGTAAAGTTCGGAGATACAGGCACCTTTATGTTTGTAAGCGTGTTGCTATATGAGAAGTGGTCTTTGTTCATTGTCAAGTAGCTAGACCCTGGAGAGCCAAAGATGCAGAAGGACCTCTTTGGGTAACTCAGCTAAAAAGTCAGGACTTCAGGGACAATCCCTGACAGGTACGCAACCCTCACTTTTATGTCATACATTGGCAGCTAATAGCCACTTTTGTGCATTCCCAACTTTTGTGCATTCTATTGTAGGTGGACGATGCTCCTGCTCTTGACATTCATTTCCATGATTAAAGTAGGTTGATCCGAGCTGATTTGGTTGAATTACGGTCGAACAAGATTACATCGGTTGAGCTACATCGAGCGTGCTCTATGTCCAGAGTGATGTAATCTCTCTTTGACCGCAGCTCAGTCAAATCAGCTCGGATCAACCTACTTTAATCATGGAAAT